CTATTGAAATTCTGATTCCATAGATGTGTCTCCCATCACCCAAAACCCCTGACTATTCTCTCATTTCAGTATTTACATTCTTTAATTCAAAGAAAATCAGTAATATCTTTAAAAACTACAAGTCCCTTTCTATCAGCTGTGCATCGTTATGGTGTAAATACAGCCTATCTACCAATTGGATCAAATATAAAAGTCAGCCGAATTAATTAATTAATTAATGTTGATACTGCAAGGAGATGTATTCTGTGAAGAAAAATTGAAGATGTGGTTTAATTGCTGATATATTTTTGATCCACGTCACATATTCAGTTTCGGTGGCAGTTCTTCCAGTTTGTCCAAAGGTCTTCTAATCAGGGCTCCATAAATAAAGAACTACGGCAGATGTGTAATATTTAATGCAGCCGAACCGTGTTTTACAATGCCGTTATGTGATGACTTCCAAAGAGAAAAGCAAGCACACTCTGAATAAAGTATTATTTTCTTTTTAAAAAAAAAGATTTTCGGATTTCATATCGCATAAACACCATATCCAAACGTGCATTGTGGCTAAACAATCCAATCACCAAGCTTAAACCATAGCTGAGGATCTTGGGTAATCAGTTCAGTGGGTGTGTATCTATTTCCGGTTATTTTATTTTGAAATTCAGTTCCTGACAGATGCCAAAAAAGCCAGAGTTTATAGAATTAAAAAAATAAATAAAACAAGGATAATTGTATGTTATTTTTGACAGTGTGTTATTTAGAAAATAATAACAAATTAGAAGGAAAAAAAGATTTAAAAAAATACAGATTTCAGTATTCTGAGGCTCTGAGCCCCATTTATTTTCCTCACGGACGGCAAAAAAGTCAGACATTATACGATTTCAAATCAAAAACAATAATCGTGGCTTGCTATTGAGTAAGAACATTTTTGTATGAACCACACAGCTTCCGGTCTTCCAAGACCCGACTGGACAAAAAGAAGTGTTGCAGGCACGAAACATACTACCAATAGAAATACATTGCTTTTAAAATCGTTCTGTGTGACACGAAATAAAGGGGGAAATCTTGTTGGTGAACACAAATTTATAGATGAAATGTCGTGACTATAACACAAAATACCGTGAGACTGGGTTGGATGAGAGCAGGGGTCGTCTAAAAATGGATACAGACCAGGGGGCAAGAACCTCAGCCACTAACTCAGACTTTGTAAAGCTCACTAATTGAATATTTACAGAATGGTGGAAGAAACTTTGACCTTTGACACTGAATTGCTAACTTTCAGGAAATATGATTAAATGAAAATTATTTTTGAATTTGCCCTGTTGATAAGGACTGTTGGATAGTTCTCTGTGCCTTTTCCTATCTCTTGTTTTGACATGCCTCTGTCCGTTGCAAGGACTTTAATCTTCGTTGTTTTTATAATGCCAGAGTTGTTGGTAAAGGATTTAGCCTACGTGATTCAATTAAGGAGCACACCGCACAACAAGTAAACAAACTGAGCTCATACCCATTGTACAGGCTGTACAAACCGCTTTGGAAATGCCTAAAAATCATGATGTTGCAGAACGTAGATGCATGTCTCGCTGTGAACGTGTGTTTTGGTGTGTGTCGTCCAAAGCTGCATGACTCGCCCTGGCTCTGACGTGGGGTCTGTAATAAGGCCTGATTGTTTCCGTTTTGGGTCACATGTTTATCATGCCATCTCTCCGCAATACCACACAGCACTCATCTCTCGCTCTTCTCTCAGATCTCTATTTTTCCCAGGAAAAGTGCACTTCTGCTCCACTTTATGACCATATGTACCCCCAACATGTTTATACACCTTTTATCCATTAGCATTTGACTCTGATGTTGCGCAATTGAGAAAGCTTAGGGCTATTGGAAGAGCCAGTAATGAAAAACAGATGTTCAGAGAAGTTCATATGGTGAATAGGCTGATTTCTCAGGACAATGTGTTCACTACAAGTCAACTGTCATCCATTAAAAGTAATAACTTTAACTTGCAAGGAAACCGTCAAAAAAGATTACAGGCTGTTATCAAGAAGGCTGCTGCGTGAGAATACAAACAATAAGTGTTGCAACCTGTTAAAATCTTGCTCAAAAAGGCACATCATAGCTGTTAATGATGTATAACATTTATCTCTTTACTTTAATTGTATTTGGAGTCATTACGTGTTGTATCTTACTGTGATGAAGTGAAGGAAGCTTGAGCAATTTGCAGCTGTTTGCTATTCTTCTATGTGCACAAAGCATGAATAAACCACAAATCATCTGGCACGGCCCCAGCTGAATACTTTAGAAAGTAGACCCCAAGAGTGCGGTTAGGTGATGACAATGCTTCGCTTCAAAAACTAATTGCAAAGGTTAAAACTGTAAATAATGATTGAAGCGCTTCTCATCTCAAAAAACATGTGGTTTTGATTACTCTGTGAAATACACATGGAACCAGTTTACAAAAAAGCCACGTGAGAGGCCCGGGGTATAAAAATCACTGATCAGAGCAAAACAATAGAAACCTGAACCTAAGGAACAAGAACACATCACAAAACTCTGTCATGCCTTCATATATTTTCTCATGAACAAACAACCAAATAAGCATTTAGAAAATCTTTACAATGCACTTATCACACAAAAATACAAACTTTACATATTATTTGGCTCAAAGAGGAGTGTTTACCTTACATTTTGACATTTTCTTCCAACAAAAGCTTTACACAAGATGTACTTTGCCTTTTCAGAAGTCATTTAGTGATATTAAAGAAATTTACTTTTTTAAAGGTTTTGCGAAGAGAAGGAAAACAAGATCAATTAAACTCAAATCTGAACCATACACTATATAAGAAGTAGACTTCGTCACCTCCTTGTCCTGCATTTCTCCGTTTTTTGGCACCAGTAGCAACTCAAAAGGGTGGAGCTGAAAGCTGAAGAGGACATTTACTGTAAGGTGACTAAAACTTTGGAATTAACTTGCATGAAGTGAAAGGGTTAAAGTTTTAAGACATGCAGCACAAACTTCATAGTAATCTGTCAATCACATACAAGCCCCGCCTTAAAACATAACCCTGCTGGTGTATTTTACTCTAAATATAGACTTTAATCATGGTTCACTGAAGGAGACTTAAAACTGATGATTGAGAATAAAGCACTCTTTAGCAAAATCGTTACTCAGATAATAAATCAAGTGAGAAATTGGGTAAATGTTTTCATAGACTTCCATACAATTGCGCTTCTTTTTGCAACCAGGAGTCGCCCCCTGCTGGTTATTAAAGAGAATGCAGGTACTTCCACATTGGCAAGTTTGTTTGATTTTTTCAATGAATATCTACAGGCAACAGGCAATTAGCTTAGTTTAGCTGCATAAAGACTGACAACAGAGCTATATCTCTTCTCTTCATCACTATTTGTTTAATACGATCAGAAATGTGTGGTTTTATGGTTTATTATGTGCTGAGTATCCAATAGTCACATCCAAGAATCTCCCCTGAGAATATGAACAGACACTCACTCAAAGTTCTACTTTTCATACACAAGAACAGGATTCATTTAAAAAAATCTGGCATGTGTTATCTGCCTTACGCCTACAAAATGAAATTATATAAATCCATCCAAAAACACTCCTCGGTTGAAAGGGCAAATTATTACGACATTAGTTCAGGCATCTGTTTATTGCTCCAGTGTCTAGATGTTTTGTGTCATTCCTGCACTCTCCTCATCTCGTGCTTCATTCACTTGATACAGGACAGCTGTAGATTTGAGCATAAAAACGCCATTGACGGTTTTCACATTGTACATTTTGCACAATGTACAGTATGTCCATGAACTTTTTGACTCCTGAGCCGAGGGGGGTCCAGTCATTGCATTGCAACTCACAAGTAAGTCTCAAGTGTACACACTGTACAAAGTAGAGTCCTAAACATTGAGTTTTGAGTCCTTAGTCTTGCCACAATACTACTTGTTGCTTACAAATATTGCTCTTTTCACAAAGTGTAATGCCATTTTTTGTCCCGCACACATTTCATATAATCTATTAGTATTCCTGCGCTCGGCGGCAGGAATCAAGTATTTTCACGTCAAAAAGCTGAGGTCTAAATAAAGCCACAAGTCATGGTGATAAAAATCAAGACAATTTCTCGACTCCAAAGTCTCTGCTATCTGCTTCTGAGATAATTAACAAGGAAACATAGTTTGTAGTCTTGTTGAGTGATTAAAACTGTTTCAATTATTTTTTATATAAATTTCATTTTGTGGTCACACCTCTCAAAACGTCTTGCTTCTGGAGGATCTAACCAAAAAGGTAATTCCTTTGTAAACTATAGGATGACAAATCCCTGTGTTTTTAGCACTTAAACAAGTGTGGCTCCTTGAAAGCTAATGTTCTTGCAGGATTCTTGTTCTGAGTTTGTTTTGTTCGTGGTTCAATGCAGCTTTTATCAATCACTTTGGAAAAAAATGTCCACTAAATAAAAAGTGATTTCAAATTGTGCGTATAAAAAGCTGATTAAAAAAAGAACAAATATCTGCAGAAAACATCCTTCAGTGCATCCTGGCAGCTTTTAATGTAATTTTTCTGGTATCAGTACTTTACTCCACTACTTATTTTTCGACAACTTTTTACTTTTACTTCTTATATTTTTAAACACAAATACCTGTACTTTCTACTTCTTACATTTTCCAAACAGGCTGGTTCCTTTAGTTTGAATGTGTGTTTGGTGGCGTGATCATTATTATTTAGAGTCATTGCGTGCCTATTGATTTGAACATGATCCGTGTATCCATCATTTCCTGGTCTTCTCTAAAGAAGAGGGACCAATAAAACATTGTCATGTTGCCGTTGTTCAGCATGGAAACATTCATTAGCTAACAATGACATTATTGTTCTATTCATATAAAAGGAGGTCAGGTACTCCTTAAAACAGCTGCTAGTTATGGGTACTTTTTACTTAAGTACATTTCAAAGCCCATACTTCTTTACTTTTACTTGAGTAAAGAAGTTTAGTCAGTACTTCTACTTTTACCAGAGTATTTTTAAACACGATTATCTGTACTTCTACTTGAGTAAAGGATGTGTGTACTTTTGCCATCTCTGCACAGGCAACAGTTTTATCTCTCTTTACGTAGATACAGCTCTGGTGCACAGTATGTCCCGAAGAGGAGGTCCCAGTGGGTGAAGTAGGGGGCATAGTTGACGTTGTGCAGAGCATGGTGGGCCTGGTGGCAGGGGGCTCCTCCCAGGCAGGGCAGCAGGCGGTGCAGAGCCCACGGCAGGTCGTATCCGCAGTGGTCCTCCACCGCCAGCCAGCTGTTGAGCAGGTGGAAGACGGCCTCGCTGAGCGGGTGGCAGCCGACCAACCAGGAGCTGCTCAGGGCCATCAGCAGCAGGGACAGGAGCTCCAGAGAAGAGCTGTCCTGAGCAGCCAGGGCGAAGGGGAGGTGGTGCCGGTGGTGGTGCCGGTGGACCCTGCGGTACAGCCAGGGCACCCTGACGAGAAACACACAAACACATTCAACTCTCACTGCTGGGAAAATCAGTATAAAAATGGGGCGAAGCTAGTTCAGGCAGTCAACTCGAGAACCAATGATACATTTACACGTGACGCACCTCGTCCCTCTTACAACCAACCAAACACATTCTCCTAAACTTGCCGCTCTATTTAAAGGTCACCTATTATGCAAAATCCACTTTTTCATGTCTTTTTTACATAAATATGTTCAACTCTCACTGCTGGGGATAATCAGCACAAAACTTGTCGTGGATAACACTCACAACATTAAAGAATAAGACGAAGAGGAATCGATAAAACACAGACAAGGAGATGGTTGAAGTCAAATACATAAGAGACACATTCCCTTGCACCAAAGCAGTCAATAATGTAATGCACTATAGACCAAGAGAATCTTACAGCTTATATACACTTCAAACTGCATGCATAGTTGAACTCTTCCTTACCTGATACAGTATTATATTGGTTTTTCTATCCCCCCAGACTTTAAATAATCCTAAATTAAATTACCCTTTTCTGCTTCTCACAGAAATAGGTAAGTCGCATGAAACTAAATGAATACTCGTAAGGCTTAACACATGATGATATAAAACAGATTCTACAAACTCCCATAATGTCAGTGTATCTGCGGTAGACTTTGTATCTGCGGTGGGAGTTTATTTTTCTCCACTGTTTATTTTTTATTTATTTTTTTCGTTAAATAACTAAAATAACAATACATGTGGCATTTTATTGATTAAATACGTAGACTTACTTAAGTATTGTACTCGAATATAATTTTTACTTAGATATTTCGATTTTATGCTCCATATATGTTTCTACTCTACTACTACATCTAAGAGGCACATTTTGTATCCAGGTACAACAGCATCACTGATCAACATTGGAATAACTGACAAGATGTTGCAGACTGCTCACCTGTGCATGGCCACGTGACATATGAAGAAGAGCGTGTCAAAGACCAGCAGACACGCGAACACCTCCACGCACAGCTCCCAGCAGGAGGGCGCGAGCAGGGGGAGCACCGCGGGGCTGCACAGCGCGTGCAGCAGCGCGGTGGCGGGCAGCACGGAGCTCAGGTATCTGCTCAGCACGCGGAGGAAACACTCCCCCCAGCGGCGGAGCGAGGGAGGGGGGCCCGAGCCTGCAGACACTCTCCACGAGCGTACCCGCTGACACACGCTGCCCAGCGCGTCCAGCGCGAGGAAAGGTGTGCAGAGGAGCACGTGCGTCAGGAAGGCGTAGGAGGCGGGCAGGTAAGGGGAGAGCAGCACCTCGCGCTGCCCGGCCTGCACCGCCTCCCACAGACCCTGCAGCACGGGAGCCTCCGAGGGGGGGTTGAGCATTACGGAGTTATTTCCCCAGCTGCTGCATCTCCAGCATCTCAAGTCTTACAAGGGTCCCTTGGAAACAATCTCTTAAAAATCCGTTTATAGACGATATCCTCAAGAGGTATCCACCTTTTAAAGTACCTGCAGAAAGATCAGTCCTTTGTCAAATCTCTGCCATACATGTTTTACAAAAAGGTAAGTTAAGGATAACTTTTAAAACAAGCTGTTTTTATATCCTTTACAATTCTGTATCCTCATATCTCCTTTTTGATGTCCTCCCATAAAGATGAGTCCTTGATAACATCTAATTTATCGCCATATATTTTATAAAAAGGTGAGTGAGGTGTCTCTCCTCGGGTGCTGCCTCACCTCTTCCTGAAGGAGCTGCTGCTGGAAGACTTTCTCTCACATGGAGGAGGAGGAGGAAGAGGAGGAGGAGGAAGAGGAGGAGGAGCCCCACCTCCACATGAACACATATACAAAGCGATGTATGAGTGACTCGCTCGCCCACGTCTTGTATGCAGTGTGTTACACAAGTTATTACATTTACTCAATAACTTCACTTGAGCACCATATAAGGGACCTGTAGCCTACTTAATCTCACTTTTTTCCTTTTATACTACTTTGTAGTCCTGTACTTTTACTCCACTAAATGCACTTGACAGCTTTAGCACCCCCTTAACCAGATGTGATGAACACATTAAAGCATAAATAATACAGTAATATAATTTAAATGATTAGATTTTAAATTGGCCATTCCACATAATTTACTTTTTAAGTAGTTTTGAAGCCAATACTTTTTTTTACTTTGACTTAAGTAAGACTTTGAATGCAGGACTGTTGTAATAGAGTATTTTTCGCAATTTAATATATTTACTAAATTAAAACTTTTGAGTCCACTTGTTCAAATATACAAAGCAAATCTTAAGTGTTCGGCTCGCCTATGTCTTGTTCGCAGTCGTACACAAAGTACATTTACTCAATTAATGTACTGCATTACAGATTAAGATTATTATCTTAAACAAAAAAGAAATGAACAATAAATAAACATTTATGGGTTAAAATATCCCACTGCAGTTTAAAATGACCTTTTGTAAACACGTTATTGAATTAATAATCATTTGTATATCATAAATGATTGTGAAATGTTCCATTATGCGTAAAGTAATGAGTACTTTTGGTACTTAAATATGTTTTGAAGCCAATACTACTTTTACTTCATTAAAGTTTTGCATGCAGGACTTTAACCTGAAACAGAGTATTTTGAAAATTGATTCCACATATTTGCAAATAATCAAAGCAAATCTTAAGTGTCTTTTGCTCTCCTATTTATTTGTAATGTTGACTCTAGGTAACTAAATACATGAAGGAATCCCCTGAGGCCAGTATCAGCTTCACGCTCCACTTCCATGCCACGCCACGCTGCTGGAAACACAGGGGCTTTCTGGGAGCTTTTCTCTCAGTGATCGTGAGCTCTGATTACACTGCTGGTTGCAGATAGTGGCAACTTAGATTTGGATAATGTCTCAAGGGAAAATAGACAGAAGAGGATTGGTTCTCAAACTGTCAGAATATGAATGAATGACGCAGAAGGATAATACACATTTTAATATCTCAATGATCTTCTCATCATTGTTCTTTCGTTTCTTTTGATTTCACAGCTGCGTATTTGTTCTCCTTGTAGTACATCTTGTTCTTATGATGACAAGTACAAAAATAAATTAAGATGCCAGAAAGGATTCCTTACCTACCTACGCTCAATTTGAACCTATAAGCGAGGGAAAGCTTCAATTCGTTCAGTTTCCTGGAAAACAACCATTTGAAAATTAAAGGAGACAGTAACTCCTGTACCATGGACAAAAGTCCTAAAAAAACCGAATGTTCAACATAGAACCTACGAAGAATAAAGTTTTAAGGGTACAACTCTACAAAATAGCTTGAGTAAAGTTACAATAATGATATATGATAATAATAATAATAATGAAGTAATGAGGGTTTCATTAAGATTCAATAATGCCATTAATGATTGCATTTTTAAACTCGTGTTGCACTTGCCTTCATACACAAGTTTCAAGTGAAATAAAAATGACTGAAACTGAACTACTGTGCCATTGAAAAAAAACAACTCTTAATTCCAAGGTATTATTTATCGTGGAAAGGTATATTTTAAGTGTAATTCAGTTCTAAGTAAACTTGACTTTGCTGTGGTTGCACGGCTTTGTTTCAAACCTTTAATACTGGCTAACTTCTGTTCTCTAGCATTTGACAGAGAAGTGTGCCACTGTGACAAATGATTATACGGATGTTGCTTGTTACAATTAACATGTGTACTTCCCCACCATTTCAATAGAGCCTGTCTAGACTGTAATGTGATCACGCTTTGATTTGCTGTTCCCCTTCCCATCCTTTGTTTTCTTCCCTTTTAGAGTTTTGTCATTTGTTTGATCGAGGTTCAGATTTCTTTAGCACTCAGAGTTAACTGGCCTTCAGGCTGGAAATAGTTAACATTTTTTTAAATGATTTAACTTATTAAACATCACAACTTTGCTTTAAACTTGTAGATGTGTTCATTTCTTACAACAAGGTGATCTCCACCACATTATCAAAATGTACACATATTATTAACAAGTGATTATCAACATCAAGGCTGATAGCACTCAGTTAAAGCCCCAGGGCCCCACATACCCAAACAGTTGACTGTAAATAATGAGTTAAACTGTGGGATCGGTGCAGTAATAAAAAGGTGTGAAGTGGAGTAATCCCCCATGAATAATAATCCTCTCTGCCCTGAGTCAAAGGGTAGTAAAGACTTTAAAGCCACTATAAGCAAAACTCTTATATGGACAATGAACCAAATGAAAAAGGAGGTCGCTGCTGCTCCGCTCTCAGGAGCTTCACATTGAGTTTCAGCTCATTGTTTATCTGTCGACTGCAGCAGGCAGCTGTTTTGAGTTAAAAAGCTCTAAAACTGCCAGTTAGCAACTAGCTGGTGAACATGGTGGAGCACTTTGCAGCTAAAGAGAGATGTTTCCTTCAGATGGTAAGAGAGAGACATACTATATTGATCCAAGTGGAGAAATGCATGTGCTTCTTGGTAGAAAGAAAAACAGAAAGCTTAAGGAAGAGGAGGTTGTTGGTTCAATCCCTCTGGCCTGCAGGATAAAGGTGGTTGAGGACAGTGAAGAGTTTTCCCTTACTACAACTCTGGTGCCCTTGAGCAAGGCTCCTAACCAAAAACGCTTCATTTTTGCATTAATTAAAGTAATTGCGTAAACAATTTAAAGCAAAATAAGTTCTGCAATCAATTATTTATTACAAATGACAAAATCCTATTTCAAATTAAAGCCATATGTTTTGGCTCTATGGGACTTAAGTTGAGTTTACACACTTTCTCTAGTCCTTCAAAAATAAATTTGTTTTGGTTCTTTTTCGTACAAAATATTCTTTATTTTCTTAGTTTTATGATGGATAAGTAAATCTTAATATAGCTAATTGTCATTCATACTGGCAAGATTAAAACCACCTGCATGTTCTAATCTAAAATCATCTTCACATCAACACTTACATTATGAATCTTAACAGATGGGCATAAGGTATTAGTTTGTGGTTTCCTGGAAAAACAACAATTTGATAATAGTATAAGTGAAATCTGAACAATAACTCCAATATTTGTTATAAAGGTTTCAATATACAATATATATAATTAAGTTTACAGGGTACAACTTTGCAAAGAAGCGTATTGTTATTTGATGGGAGCAACTAGGAACTCCTCAATATCATCATTTACTGGAGCAGGCTCAGACGTTTTTACCCAGTAATTAATGAGTAACTATTAGTTGTGGGCCTGAGCGCAAAAGATTGGAAACAGTCAGAAGCAACTCATAGAAAGAGGGACATCTAAACCCAATGATCCAATAACGAACTCCAAATATGGCCGCATCCGTCTCTGTGACTCATGGATATAGTATTTCTCGGTCTCTTTTCCTACTTATATCGTAAATGGAAACGCAGTGATGCATGTTTATCAGAAACACATGTGAAATAAAGCATGACTGAAGTCAGCACCCCGATATGTTCGATCAGATCAAGGTGTGGACAATATGTTTAACTAGCAGTATACTCTTTTAGTCTTCAATGTAAATATCGTTTACTGTTTTAAAGTGTGCGTCATAACAGTTGCCACACACCTTCACAACCTGAGTCCTTAAACTTTCATTGTTGCTCAAAAGAACAGTTTTTCTCAACACGTTAAATAATCTAATAGGATAATTACTGTGTATAACACTTAAATTCAAACTGGTTTAATTATTACTCCAAACTACCTTTTTGAGATTTTTTTTAAAGGGGCTTTATTAAGCTAATGTTCAGCTTTCATTATTGTATTTTGTCCCATGGCTCTGGACGGAACTGTGGGATTTAGTCCTTTGCAGACCATTTACATGCACACAATCCTACAGGAGAGGGAAAACCCCAAAAAGCACACCAGGGCCTCTTTATAAATCTGACTCGCAATTACAACACTTCTTTAGATACAAAATGTTTGTGTTTAAATACACTTTTAATGACACACATCCTACAAGTCCCATTTGACCTGCATTGTAAATACAACTCTTAATAATGCCATTAATTAGTCAAAGTATAACCCACAGTTCTTTATTGCCAAATGACAATATATTGATTGCATATTTACAATTGAAATCAGTGCAAACACCTTTAAGTTTCAAGTCATTGCTAAATCTCAATCAATTAAGAGACATTTGTATTAAAATAAAAACGGAAAGGGACTTTAAGACTAGCTTCAAACGACAACAAAGAGCAGGGTCAACAACACATAATAACATAATCACTGTTTGTTTAGAAGTTGGGTGTAGGTTAATTTTGGACACAGGACATTTAGCTTCAAACTCCAAAAGGTTTTCTCTCGTGTGAAAGTGTGTGCTCAACAAACTAAGTGGCAGCCTCGATGCCTGAATACGTAGCTTCCCACGAAGCCTGAATCCACATTTTACAACTTTGAAGCTAATTTGTTTCTGTGAACACTTGTCGTAACTCACAACCATGTGTTCTTGGTTGTGCAACGCCACAACCCTCAGTATAAACAATCAAACTTAACATTTGCTAAATGCTGGGAGAAAACGTATATTGTCAACATTAAGACACAATTTGCATTTTAGTAATCTAAGACTGAGAACATGTTTGGTCCTGATCAAGCCAAGATTTCTATAAAAAAAGATTATGAGTTTTCCAAAACTGACAAAAGACAGACGATTTCGACATACTATTTCTACATCAAGTCCCTCAGTATACATCTAATTATAAGCCGATTCACTACTTTAAATATCCTGTAACTACTCCTACAGGATATAACTGGAGTACAAAAGTTGCTTTTGTCATAACGCAACATAAATTGTTTAAAGTGGGCGTTGATTTGAATAGATATGAACAGTGAACATAAGCAGCCACACAGATGTCTTCTCCCCGCTGAATGAACGGAGAGAAAAACAAAGTGCTACACACACATACAGCAGACAGCTGCACAACCTTAGTTAATATTCACCAGATAAAACAAACAAAAGGAGCGATGACGTGGCCTCTGACAGGCAGCAGCGAGCAGCTCCTTCGTCCTCTCGTCTACAGTGAGGTTACTTGGAGAGGGCCCGTATTTTTCAAGCAGTTCAGAATAGGAAGTCTAAAATCCTCAGAGAGGCCAACATGTGGTCCTTCCTTTGAGCAGCAGGGACCAGTATTTTAATAACTTTCTTGATCTTGACAATTACTGTTTAGGATTTAATGTATAGATTTAGTATATCTGCTAATTATTAATGTAACTAAAGGACAGGGGTTAGCGAAAGGCAAATGCATGCAACAAGAACAATTATTGATTAGATTCATGCACCTAAAATAATTCCTACATGACAAATATCCCGGTTTCAAATGAATGCTCTGGACACATGCATGTGGGTGCATGACAAATACAAACTGGACATGGAGAGTCACTATTTGTCTAAATATAGCCAATCAATAGAAAGTCTACAATCTACAGAAATAACTCGCATCCATTTTGATCTATTAATAAGTTCAGTCATTTTTAAAGCAAACATTTTGAAACAACTGTAATGTGTTTTAATCCCGCTTCTAAATGTAAAAGATTCCCTGCTTCTAATGAATCATTGTAAACTAATATTTATGGGTATTTTGGTCAAACAAAACAAGTAATTTGAGAATGCTTTTTGGACTTAACAAAACTTGATAAATTGAGAAAAATATTGGCAGATGAATTGATCATTTAAGAATCAGTAGATGCAGCCAAAAAAACACATACGTAGTTTTGCATTCCAGATGTTTGTTGTTTCCTGATAGATGAACTGTGTACACCAGATGCACATATGAAAAGATGTTTGCTAAAAAGAGCTAATTAGACACGTACAGTTGATGCTATCTCATCTGCTTTATCTGCAACCCAACTGACTGATTCCAGACCATCTCTAAGAACTATGCAGAAGTGTATGCAAACCTCTGAAACAAGTCCTGTGCTCTGCTGTAGGAGAATAATATAAAATCCATGTAAAACCTTCAGTGTGATATCTAGCAGTTATTCTGAGGTGTTTGATAAATACGGGCTCTGTTGAGCAGGAGTTCTCTGGGTCAGGGGGTCAGGCTCCTGCCCCCCGCCCCCCCCCCCTGCAGACAGACCTCCACCTCCTCCTGAGGGCTTTGGTACTTCTTCTTTAGAGATCCAGGTCCATGATCCGCTCGGCTACAATGTCCATGGCTGCAGACGCCTTCACTGACCCCCCCGCGGAGCCCGAGTCCACGAACATGTGCGGGATCTCGGACCCAAAGTAGATCTTACTGTTGGCGGAGATAGACTTGAACTTCATGAGCTTCAGGTACTCCGGGGTGAGCTTCAGCTGCGGGAGAGAAACACCATTTTATTTACAGAAGAGCAGGCTGGACTTTCCAGTTGTATTGTATTGTGTGTATTGTGTAGATTGAAATGAAGCTTAGCGCAAGTTCAATCAGGAAGACCGCCTTGAGTCATTAATTCACATATTCCCAGCTCACTGGATCACTGATCTCTCAATCAGTGATCGGGGGCGTCACTCCCCTGCTAAACCCATCACTTCGCCTCTATTCCCACAAGCCTATCATAGTGCATTGCTAAACCTTGAAATCTGCTCTCTCCCCTTCCTCACAGTTGTCATTTCAGGTGACTCAACGCAGCCCTCCTCCCCTCCTCCATCTTCCAAATCCAGGGTCAAGCTTAAACCACTACTCTTCAGACCGACTTCAATCAATCCTTTCATGCCGCCACCACCTCCAGTGTCTAGACCCCAGGGGGGGATTCATCTGCTCGGTTTTCCCCCTCCCGAATGATATTCCAGCCCAACGGGGTCTAATCGCCAAACACCACTACATGCATCTGTATATTCCCAGCAATAAATATATATCGTTACATCAAAAGAAAACTTGTCTCTCCTGATTGAAATACCGTTTCTCACAATCCCGAATACAAATATATATTAAAATATGTATATCCTATATATACAGACACAATCAACAGACACATTAAGACATAAATAAAAGCACAACAATCCATATATACAAAATAACAGTCACTTCAATATCTTTGGGAAATGTACATTAGTGCAAGATTGTCCATAGCAGAGTGGATGAGGAGGGGGGGGGTGGGGGTAGGAAACTCATGCGGTGCAGGAGATCAGAGGATGTTTTTAAAAACCGTTAAACAATAGTTAAACATTAGCTGTATTTCTGTTTTGTATGGATTACTTTGATCATTATTTTAGTGTCAATATGAAAGCGGATGTCTCAATGTTTTTGTTTTGAAGGCAGCTTCTTCATTTGAGCATCTATTGGTGGAGGAGGAATTTGGAACCAGAAAGTTTTTTTTTACCAGGGCAAGAGAGGATGTAAAAGCAATTTTTCCTTGTTTTGCTTTGGTTGAAACCTGAGAAAATAAATGTACAAAAGTCAATCTTGCCTGGAGAATGAACAAGATTTACGTCATTGTGCTTCAGCGGCAGTTTGAGATTGTTTTCTGTTGTGTTTGTTATTGGTTTGAGGACAAATACCCGCAGCACTCTCTGTACATTTCCCCTCTGTGGAAGCTCTCAGTATTTTTGCAGCTTTAAACTGAATCTTCAAAGTTTGGAGTTTAGGCTGCGTTCCAAAAAACACACTTGTTATTTTTACTTATTGTGTGTCCTGCTGCTGCCCTTATGTATGCCCTTATGCCCGTATGTACGCTTCCATGGAGTATGCATGCTTTTGGCACATACTACTTTGTATGTCAAACCTTTTGATAATACAGTATTGCCCCTGTGCAAAGGATTGTGGATCGGAAAAGCCAAAATAGCATGCTGTATGCAAACTGCAGACTGTGACCAGATGCAGAAGGACTTGAGGTACTTTTTGGCATTCTGCATTTGACATAGTATGAATGAGGACATCTTTTTCTGTCATACTAAAAGGAATGGTGGTATGGGTGTTTTCATTGTTTTTTTTATATCCTGTATCTTTTATCTGCTTTATTATACTGTTTGACTTTCAAACAGTCTTTCCTGATTGTGAAATAACAGGTGACTCACAGGAAATAAGAGATATGTGATCACACAATAAGTGGAGCTTTGTTAGCAGCTATCCATCAACAAAGGCAAGACTACTAATTAGTGTTAATTTCGTCAGCTATTTTTTAATTTAGTTTTAGTCCTGTGTTAAATTTCCTTTTTAGTTTTAGTCATATTTAGTCACCTTCATCCTGTTTTTATTTAGCCAAGTTTAAGTCGACTAAAAGTCTGAGCATTTTAGTCATATTTTAGTCAAAGAAAACTAATTATTTGAGTCTACTTTTTGTCAATGAAAACTGTTGTGTCTTTTAGTCATCAGATTAGAGAACATTTCAGTCAAACTAGTCTAGCCAAAACCAATGATTTGTCATTTTAGTCAAACTTATTTCACAATAAGATTATATCTTGTCCTTATTTGATGAAAAACACAAGTTGAATGATTAAGAATGCAGCTTTGCAGAGAGTATCAGGTCAGGTTGTGGTGTTTTTACCAGCTGTGTTGTGGCCACATTGCTTCACTTCTGATAAAACAATGCATTCGCTTTTTTTCTCCGCCTCATTGTAGCGAAAATGGGCTCAAATATCACATTGTTTCTTTCTCCCAAGCAGTGGTGGCGTTAGACTTTTTCGTTGTCATTCATTTTGACGGACAGGATCGTAACATTTCCGCCATAATCCATTATTACCCGTCGAGTCTGTGCACAACTCGTCACTCACTCGCGCTGACGGGGGGGGGGGGGGGGTATTCGGTTAACGCGACCACTGCTCCCAAGCCCTGTTGTTGCCTTTTTATTTTCTGTTAAATAAGGATAGTTAGACCATGAGTTAGACCCGAGTCTTCCTGACAGTTCACATTGTGCCACTGGCCCGGTGTACTTCAAAGACACACAGCTGCTGCCCAGCCGCAGCACCCGAAATGGAACTGCTGGGAGAAAGACTGACTATCATGTAACGTTATCTTTGATAATATGTTGTCGTGCTTTTGTGTAATCTATTTACCTTATTGGCTTCTGCTGTTCTCTGTGACGTATAAAACTCTGCATCAGCTCGGGCTTTCATCCGGGCGAGGAAAGCACCATCTGTGAATTAGAAACAAACAGTCTGAGTTCTGTGTAATAAAAGAAGTCCAAGCTGCTTCGCCGCTCAGAGAGGAGGGAGCTGGTGTAAATACTGTGACCTACGAACATGAGCCCATCTAAGCAAATGGTTTCCCAGACTAGGAAACTGAAAACAAACACACTCGCAAAGAAGCGCTTCTGATTGTACACAGCTGCTGAAAACCACTTGAGGATTTACTCGTAATCCTAACAATAGGTTTTCTTTGCATTGAATTCTGATGCTGTCTTTCACATCTCTACTTTGTCTTCATTCAAGTAAGAATGACAGCTTGTACAAACAAATGTAAAAGCTATGGTGTGGTTTGCAGATGTCCACGGGTTTGACTTCAGATTAATAACCCTATACAAATGTCTTTATATGTGTCTGTCTTTAAAAAAGTGCTTAAGACAGCAGCTGTTTAAACACATGCAAACAAAATATGTAAAAAAGATGACATGTTTGTAAACCAAACTGGGGTCAAGAAAATAAAACAAACAAAAACAAATTGTTTTTCCAAATTGAGTTGATTTCTTCTGTCTTTTGGCCTGTACATAAAATCTTCTACTTCCAGTCTAGAAGTTCATGTGCTGGCCACTTGCAAGCCCCGCCCCTCTAAAAAGATTCACTGACATATTTTGATTCAAAACTGTGAATTTTGCACATAAGCGACTAGTTTGCAGGTATGTAATAACATATGTCAAAGCTTGAATATACTAAACAGTTGGGGTCTTCTAAACATGATACTCTACTCTGAAATGCATTTCATTTGTATCATTGCTTTCCACTTATATACATGTTTATCATATCTTGTCTATATTAAAACCAATGTTTAGGGAAAATTCAGTCGTTAGGGTTAGATTCACTTAGATCTGGTTAGTATAACACATATTTTAAAATACTTCTGTGCAGTGTCATACCCCCTATTCTCACGCCTCAGATAGTTTAATGGGGGCATCCCGTTTACCTTCATTCTATCTTTTGACTGTTTGTGAATAAATTGCCACATCGCTGAGCATGTTTGCTTCTTTGTCTTAAAAAGGATTTTGACTTGCCCTGGCAGGAAATGCACATGTTGTGATAACTGTTTCATAACCCTCTGACCTTTTCATTGAGTCAAAATGATGACAGGATTAGAGAATTAGTAAACAGTCATTATTCCTGTTATAACATGTGAAGACTGACTGGGTACTTTAGGAAAGTGCATTTACGTTATGGAAACAATGTTGAGATCCAATTAATGATAGATTACAATTCTTCTTTGTAGATGCTCCTCTTGTACATTTCACTTCTCTGCATTTATCCGACAATTAGTTCAGTTTACGTTTTAAGACTTTATAGCTAACAACTCTTAACAGGAATTAAAATCCTGGCTGAGCCAAAATGTCCTCAACCTCAACGGGAGCAAGACCGAGGTCATCTTTTTTGGACCCCAACCTCCAGCCTCCCCGGTTGATATTCTGGACTCCCTCAATACAAACATTCTCCCCTCTGTCATGAACCTTCAATAGCACTTTTATATTTGATAAGCAGGTCAGCACCGTAGTCAAAACATGCTTCTTTTTTTTTTAAATACGACTATTGGCCAAGACCAAGTCGTTTTTATCTTTTAAAAGGTTATTAGAGCCTTTGTTACCTCGAGGTTGGACTACTGCAACGCTCTGTACGTGGGTATGAACCAGGCCTCAATTAGACGCCTGCAGCTAGTGCAGAACGCAGCTGCACGTCTTCTCACTGGCCACAGAAAGCGTGACCACATCACCCCAATTCTGGCCTCACTCCACTGGCTTCCAATTTGATTTTAAACTCCTTTTATTAGTTTTCAAAGCCCTAAATGGGCTGGCTCCGGCTTATTTAGCAGAACTCCTCCATCGCTACACCCCAGCCAGAGCATTAAGGTCAGCTGACCAGCTGGTGCTGGTAGTGCCCAAGACCAGGCTCAAAACCCGAGGGCACCGAGCCTTCGCAGCAGCTGGCCCCAGGCTCTGGAACACTCTGCCCCTCCATGTGAGGTCGGCCCAGACGCTAGGTTTTTTTTTAATCTAAACTTAAAACTCACTTCTTCTCTCTGGCCTTCTAGTCAGAGCGGAGCACGACTCCTGACATTTCCATGTGTGTGATTTTTTATTTTGCTGTTGTAATTTGTTGTCTTCTGTTTGCTATTGTTGTAAAGTGTTTTTATTGCATGTACAGCACTTTGGCTCGACCAGAAATCGTTTTAAAATTGTGCTATATAAATAAAACTTGATTTGATTTGAACGCATTGTTTAGATAAAGCCATGTCTTTCACTGTTGTTGATTTGTGGCCCTTGTTGCTCAGTCTTTGGCTCTAACTTATTTTAAAATGATTATTTCTTCAGGCTGTGTTTAGATCACTTGGTACCACTCCTGACTCGACACATTTTAATCAAATCCAAGTGTATTTATAAGCCCTATATCTCAAAAACGTGAGTGTCAGTGGGCTTTACAGATCAACAAACACGAATGAGAATGCTCAAAGATAAATATTAGTCAGTATTAAACTAATTTAAGTTGGATTGGGTATTTCTTTTACTTATATATATTTAGCTGATAATACTTTTGTTCTGGATACAAACCTTCAATTTCAGAGATCCTTTTCTCCGTGTTCTTCTCCATGACTTTCTGTCCGTATTTGATCTCTGCCACTTGTGCCACTTTCTCAGCCTCTATAACACAAATAAGCACCTTTTTGTATAACAATATTTTGTATAATGAACTTCTCTTCATTGTTTTCTTTGTCTTTGTCTCACCTATTATAGCTTTGATCCTTTCTGTCTCCGCCTCCTTCTCCACCACCTTCTGTGTCTGCTGAGAGATCAGCAGCTTCGTCTTCTCGCTCTCCCTAAAACACAAACACACACACTTTACATTAAAACACACACATCCAGGCATATACTGTTTAGGTGGGATATCTAACACTTGTATTATCCTGCGTGTGTTAACACTTATAGAATAATTCCCCCCAACCTCAACATGTGCAGAGGCGTCACCTTTGGGAGTCTGCACATTTTCCATGCATCCTAAGAAGCACAATTAGTATTTTAGTTGGATGTTATGGGTCTTTATTTTAAATTCCTGGACCAACTTCAGGAATCTGTGCTTCTATGGTTTACTTTAACGAGACATTAATGCTTGTCTTGTGTCATGCAGGTTAAAAGTGTTTACCCTGCATAGCAGCTGGATTCCATTATACAACTTTACACAAGAAATGCAGGATCACAAGATAACATGGACATCCATCTTGTCATGCTTCAAGTAATGCATTTGTATTTAAAAAAGTCCCCTATTATGCAAAATGCACTTTTTGATGTCTTTTATACATGCATATGTGTCCCCGGTGTCAGGGAACCCACAAAGTGTCCGGAAATACAACCCTCTCTTTTCCTCCGTACCCACATCTCTGAAAACGAGGGTACAACAGAGCTGATCCAGATTTGCTGCCGATATGACGTAATATCGGAAATGTGGGCTGGCTTTACGCCCACGGCACTATAAGAAACGTCGGTGTATCAGAAACAATGCGTTTTGGAAGTAATATGGTCTTTGTTTACATTAGCAAGCATCGCTAACACTAGCTACGGACCCAGAATCAGCGGTTCTCTAACACGGCTGAAACAGAGGGGTTTGAGGCTAGAATGGGTGTTCTGTTTGGTATTTTGAGCCAAACACTTCATAGATGTTTTTTATATATCTGAGACCTATAATATATGCCTACAAATAGTATAATAGGAGATATGTGTGTGAGGACACAGGAAGAACTCCTAAAGAGGTAGGCCTAAATGCTTCAAAAGCATCAGATATTTAATAACTTGACTGTTCGTTAGAAGAACGTTAAATAAACGGCATCATTTTGTGGGCAAAAGTTGGATTGACTGAGGATTTTTCCAATTCCCTGCGAACACATTTTTGTACAGTATGTGCCTGCCTTTTTCTAGGGTTCCCACACCTCCTTAAATACATTTGAGTACTTTTCAAAGAGTTTTAAGGCTTAATGTCCTCAATTAACAGGACCCAACACGGCAAGGTTAAATACACTTGAGCCAGGTTGCATGTTCAAACAATGATGCAACTGCAGGTAAGAAACATGCAAGAGAGAGTGGGACATAGCCAATTTAGAAAATGTTAAATAGCAAAGACCTTTATTTTCTACTATTTCTCAAAATATATAAATTCAAGAACTTTCAATGACAGATGACTTTTGAAAGAAAAGTCAAATCCCTTGATTTTTTCCCCTTGAAACTCAGACATTTCAAGGATTTCAAAGAGCTTGTGCAACCTGTTAACCGTAAACAACTAACTATTAAATGAACTTGACAATTGGACTTGTGCTGCTTACTAGGATCCATATTAATACATCATAGAAATATGAATGCATGACAGCTTTCATAAACATCTAAGTCCTTTGTAATTATGAATTGAATGGTACTTATTCATAGGCAATAAAACCATATCTTGTCATAAAATAAATATAGAACAAGCCAACACACTTCACTTTGACATCACAGGCGGTTCTTTGGAGATGATCAGGACTTGGTTTTTAAAGATGTGCATGAAAACTTGGTCTCTGAAGCTCTGTTTGTGTTTCTTTTAGGATTCCTGGTTTCTGACAACATGCTCAATACTCAAATAGAAAGAGAAAGAAAAACCTTCAGACTTTTAACAAGTGGGTAGAAAGATGCTGAAAAAAAAACCATGAGACAGCCCAGAGACTTGGAAAGCATTTGGGAAAGTCTGAGCCTGTAAGAGCAGGCATTTGGAGTGGGCATAACATTTCAAAGAGTCACATCCAAACCCTGTGGCATCAGGACAAATTGACAACAAATGCTCTGCTTGTGCTTTTAACCTTGGCTTTGCATCTTCTTGTCTTTGCCTCATTGGAAAGATTTCCTATTGCTTAACGAACCACATCAATCAGCGTTTGTTCATCCCTCAAGTAATCCTTTTAAAGTTAGAACAATACAACTGCTGGTTTGAAGAGAAATTGGCTTTATTTAATAACCTGGGGCTTATTTCCATAACCAGGGCAATCTACTCTCTCATCACATATCTGCTGGGATCTGTTGGTATTACTGGCGTTCACTCAAGCCACACACTTTCTCACAGCCTGAAAAAACAAAAGGTCAACATTTACTGAACCACTTATGAGAAAGTGAAACCAAAAGTATCCTAATACAATATCTCATGCCTGTTAAATTAAAGGCAGTATTTGCAATAGATAGAGATGAAGTGTAGATTTGCTGAATGGAAAGTTTTGCTGCCATAAAAACATGAATTTTGAAATTCGAAACTGGTCACAACTCGTGCGGTCGTCTGGCTGCTCATGCTGTGCCTCCATTTACAGTAAATGATGGCACTGCTTCCAAAGACCAATTGGAAAGGAAATTGGGGTTGGTGAGTAATTGTTACCGTAAAAGCCAGGGATTGTGTCAAAATCCGCCCCCAAAAAACTTAAAAAGTGAGCGCTGCCTCACCGCCCCAATACCAACTAACAGAGCATGTATCCAAAGATAACAAGTCTAAGCAAGAGGCAACAATTAAAATGAACATTCAATTATATTATAGTGACAATAGCCATTGAACACAATAACCAAGAAGAAGAAAAGACTGAAATGTATGAGCAAAGAAAGACAGAAACAAGGAGAAACTATGCATCAGCTGGTTGGTGTGTTTTGTTTAATCCTAGACTCCCTTGTCAAATACATTTTAAACTGTATTGTAAATACTCCTGGTAAACTAAAAAATATCTAAAACCCTAAGGTTCTCAATTTAAAGCAACTCAGCTTAAAACACAAAAGGTAAGGCAGCGTTTTTCAAGCAACTCATGGAAGCAAAGCAACGTTAGCTTCGATGGCTAGTTAGCTAACGTTACAAACGTCAACAAAACCTGTTTGCTGGCTAAACATAAGAAAACCTGCTTTTTTTCTACCTTTGTCTGAAAACATGTAAACATTATTCAGAGCTTTAATGAGAATGTGCTACTATATTAATATTACATCTGGCCCGTCTTATTCAATTTTTTCATTTACTTTGTATATACATAAGGAGCGTGAGCTCTTATTCATGTATTTTCACCACACAACTGTCATAACATCCTGTCACTGCATCCCAAAATAAATACGTTTAAGCAGATACTCCTTATAAAAAGGTGCTCCAGACGGTCTGAAGATGCTAATGCTAATGCTAATTTCTATGTTACTGTTTGGGGTTATAAACACTGAACTTTGTACATTTGCAATGAGGCTCATTTGCAAAAACAAGGGTCCAGTGTTTTCCCAAACGTCTGCTTAAAACATCCTTTAAATATATGCAAATGTCACAGGAGCACAAACACTGTGCTGTTATCTGCTTCACAACACAGATTATTACACAGGAGTATTTCAACATTTGCAGGTGCTTTCATTAGTTCTCGCTTCCTTTGTTTGCAAAGGTTGCACAGGTTTAATAACTACAAAAGCCTCGCCCTTCCTTTGTTTAGTTATCTCTGAAGTCCCAGTAGATTTCATCGGTAAACAGCGTATGTGCTGTGCAGGCAGCAACAGCTAGCTTTTGTGGGGGATTATTAAATGTTCCACTTAAAATATTTAAAATAACAGTAAGCTGTGATGCTTTTCTATAGTTGAACACATGTCATGCTGATGCCTGATAATGAACAGCTGAAAGATACTCCTGGGAATGAAGACGCTATCTAATATCAGGGTTTCCCACACATAGACTTTACTTGGACGGGCCGCCCAGGTATATTAACGGCCGCCCAAGTATATTTCGCGACCCATTTATTTATTTATTCTGTTCGTCCGCGATCACGACGCCATCTGCGACCGATTAACTTGTGGACAATGGTCCCTCACTCTACCCCTCCTGTACCCAGTCCCGGACTGGCCATCGGGAGGACTGGGGGGTTTCCTGATGGCCTGGCCTGTTAAGTGGCCTGCCTCACACAGGGTGACTGGCTGTCTACATGATGTGGCCTCCCGACATGGCCACTGTCATACAGATCATAAATCAAAGCCCTTGATTGGTCTCTGTGTGTCATTCAAGCTCGGGATAACCTCAGCTCAGTTAACTAGGTGAAAAAAGGTAAGATATACTTTTAAAACTTGTTGAGAGCTAAAACTAGTCTTTGCTGCTGCCTCAAAGAGGAGCAGGGTGGAGAGGAGGGAGACAGGAGAGGCTGATTCAGGAGCAAAGACACAACAATAAATGAACCAAAAATAAATAAATAAACAAGTTTCAGTGTTTTTTCATATTGGAAATGGTATGTTATTGGTTATGGTCATGATTTTATGATTATTGAAATGTATACAGTTATGTTTCATATAGG